AAGGAGCTAAAACTTCAAGGTCAAGTTATCACTGTTAAATGTGATAGTCAAAGTGCAATACACCTGTCGAAGAATTCAGCCTATCATGAGCGAACCAAGCACATTGATGTGAGGCTGCATTTCATCAGAGGGGTAATCGAGCGTGTAGAAGTCTAAGTGCTGAAGGTTTCGACAGATCATAATGCTGCTGATATGATCACCAAGACATTGCCCAGTTGCAAGTTTTTCCACTGTATGCAGTTAATAAAGCTGCATGAAGAAAGCTAGTTTCTTGATGTTATAGAGTTAGATCCAAGGTGGAGATTTGTGAGATGTTGGATCGAACTCTATTATAGTCGAAGTTTGTTCGCAAGTAACGCGTGTTGTAGTCGAAGTCTGTTCTAACATGCATTAGTAAATATTGCTACGGTTGTTAGCATGTTGAATTGGGTCTTGCTTGTAAGCCCAATTATTTAAGTTAGCTTGTACCCTAAGTTAGCTTATAATGGGTAATTGTTAAAAAGTCCATTAGGTTAGTGTGCTATTTTATTATAAATAGGATGTTAGTTTCTCAATCTTGGCATAAGGAAAAATAGGAAGATAAAATCCTAATTTCAAGGGAGAGAGGTTATTTTGTTATTCTTGTATACTTGTAATCTTGTTCTAAGAGAAAGGAAAGAATAGAAGTTTAATAACCAATCCTTGTTGTTCCTTGTTGCTTTTTTTCTTTATTAACCCTAACCCTTGTGTGTTTCTTGATAAGAAACCGTTTATACTTTGTTTAACGGTATCCGATTCACAACATAGTCTTTATCATTGTTATACAGTTTCTTTCTCTCTGATGGATTAATAATTTGTAGGTATAAAATTGAGATTGAAGTCAAACATAATGGCTGTTGTGGGAACTTCATGTTCTAGGACCGTGAAGCCACCGAACTTTTGAAGATCTCTGCTGGCCAACTACGTGCAACCATGATAGAGGCTTGCATAACCTGCACTAAATTGTGTCAGTTAATAACATTTTTGATCATGTTAATGTGATTATCACATTATTATTCACACTAACATTTCCATTTGCAATGTAGGCTGGATTCACGTACCCCCTGGAATTTCCTCTGACATTGGATGCAATGTTGGGCTTGAAGTATGCTTTCGTGGTTAAGTGGTGTCTCAGGTGGAAGAGTTGCTCTGCCATCCAATATCTTAACGATGAACAACTAATTAAACAACTTTACGGATCACTTGGAACTGATCAGGTAAAGACCCTGTCATTGTTTTGTTGTTACAATTTCAATCCACCCAACTTATGTCGCATTTTCTGGTGTTGTTTATACCTTTCAGCCACCATCTGTCATTGATACCACTTCTCATTCACACCAGTTTTTTTAATCTCCTTTGTCTACATCTTATGTCCAATTATTACATTAAATCAAGAATTAAAACTAAACTACTGAGACCACGATTTCTAATATTGACCAGCAGTACACGCTCATTTGTTTATTTTGCTCCAGGTGATGGAGAGTGTCGACGAGGATGCACCATTTGTTAAGCGGTCTTACACAACAACACGTCATCTTTTCTAAACGCTATTTTGTTTCATCGTGTAGGATGGGGAAATAACTTTTGCACACGTTCCCGATCCTTCCACCCGTACAACTAATGTGAAGAGGGTGTCTCTCGATGCTTCGATTGATTCTTCCTAAAAAAACTCTTAATGATGGGGACCTTTCATCAACTAAAGTCAAGAAACTTATCAAGCGCGGCAAAAAAAAACATTGGTTTAAATGTACTGGTGTCATGCGACAACAGATTTTTGTTTGGGAATTCGATCAACATAACTGCCAAGTATATCTTTTGGGTATAATATTAAGTTTTATTTAGTATCTTTATTTTTGTCATCGTATGGGATTACCCCTTAAAATGATGGGTGATATTTTGGATGTGTATTAAAACTATGACAGTAGCTTTAGCTTAGAATGTCAACTACAATACCACCAATGTTATCTAATATTCCTTCAAAAGTTCATAATGAAATCAGTTTGTGTATGTTTGTATTGTGGCAGATTATCATAATCCTTCTCCAAGTGCTATCACAAATGCATCTGCTATGTAATATATGTTGTGGCTGAATCCATAAATGACACGATACTATTATGAAATAAGATAATCGAATTTAGCTATAAATTTAATATGTACTTGCGAAATTCTGTTCAACATTATTGATTACAAAATGTATATACATCAATTTTATATTATTCTTCTTTTACTCGATATCCTCTTGGAGAACAAAAAAACAAATTTTGAAACAATACTACCAACACATTTACCCTTCAATTAAAGAATCTCTATGATGATGCTTGATAGAAAAATTTTAAAAACCTGTCAACTTGGTTATCCCCTTGGAGAACAACAAAAATATTTTTAACCAATAATACTAAAACATTAACCTTGAGTAAAAGCAACCCTATTTCTCTGCTTGATAGAAATCTTTAAAAAAACCTGTCAACTTTGTTTATCATCATTTCACTATTGAAAAATTTATGAAAACATGTCTAACCCAACCACTGTGCTTTTTTTATGTGCTACTTACGTTTTCAATTAAATATTGTTAAAACAATCCTCTACCAAAAAACGACAGTGTTAAAATATCTTTCATATATTTGTATCATCTATACCTTCCCACTTTTGTATTGATAAATTATTTGGGACACACATGGTAATTTTTTCCATGGTGGATTTTTTGTGTTGATATTTACTGTTTCTATTTAGTCTGAACAACACAATAACCTTATGAACAAAATGAATTTGTTAGTCCCCTTCAAATGTTAGTTTTGCCACCAAGTGAGGTTTTGAATATTACCATGCTTCTTGGGCAAAACTCTATTACATACAACAACTATTAACAATCTTGGTAAGTTACCCTTATTTCTCATTTTTTTCCTTCAATGTTATGGTTTCCACTATGAACTAAATGTAGGACCGAAATGCCAACATGTATGATCAACAGTAAGGCCATTGTTCATTGCTAATCTTCATTTACCATATGATATTTGAAGAATCCATTACCTATGTCCGATAATATTGAAACGACTGCATCCATTCCAAGAAAGAGGCAAAAATTATTATTGATGGAGAAGAAGCTTAAACACCATGTACGTAATAAGGAGAATATAGTAGGCTCGCCATCCACACCTTTGTTAGATCCCAATTATTGTATACATTTGATCTCTAATTAGTAGTATTTTTACTTGCTTTTATCTATTAGTGTGTGAATTAGTAGATTGATTTGCTTACTTTCAATTTATTTTGGTCCAAGTGAATGGTGCTTGTAATGTTGCTGTTAGTGTACAGGATTGACACTAGTTGGAGTGTTGGAGCACCTTGGAAAAGATGAGACAGAGCTGCTAGAAGAAGTTGGAAAAGATTAGAACATTCGCCTGGCGAAGCTCAGCGAGTGCCAACGAATGTTCGCCTGACGAGTGCTGGCGAGACAGGGCGAGTAATTCAAATTAAAATCACAGACCAAAAGGGCATGAAGTTCGCCTGGCGAATGGTTGCAGCGGAGCTTCGCTACCATTCTCCTGGTGAAGGATCCTTGGATATTCCATTAGCAAACCAACATGAACTTCGCTTGGCAAGTGAAGCCAGCGAAGGTTCGCCTGGCGAAGGTGCGATAACTCAGAAGGGCAGTTTGCTTGCTGGAGGCACTTTGAAGTGCCTTGTTTCATTTGGTTCGCCTGGCGAATGGGCGAAAACATAAGATATTTTGTACTTTATTTTTGCTTTATAGGGATCATAACTTACAATCTTTTGATAGATCATCTTGTAACATTTTAACCTAGAGGAGAACTCCAAAAAAGCAGTAGTTTTTCTTGCTTTTACTCATTGTGTAATCAAGAGAAGTGGAATCACATCCTTATTCGATTCTTCGACGCGGGTGTACTTTCATCTTCTCCATTTTCTTCTTGTTCAAGCTACCATGAAAATGAGTAGCTAAATCTTCCATTTTGTCAAGGTTAGATGTAGATGGTCATAAGCTTTGTGTGTATATGGGTTGATCTTCATTTGTAAACTCTTTGATGATGAATGTATGGTGAGAACCTTGTTTTATTGATAACTCTTTGTGTTGGTTTATTATTGAAAGGTATTTTCCAACTCTTTACCTAGGTTTTCGTCCATCTATGTTCTTGAGCTAGAGATAGTTTTGAATGGGCTTGTTCACTAAAATGTCAAACCTAAAAGTTGTCATTTTGATAGATTGTGTGAGAAATCAACAATGGATCAAAATGGGAAAGACCACAATGTGTGTTAGAAATAATCACATTGGGAGGATATTGTGAATATGTTTATTATCTAATGGAGTTTATAAGTTTTGTTTGATCGAACATATGCATGCAAAGTGACCGTCGAACCCTAACTTTGACAATCTTTCTCAAATCGTAAAACCGAAATTTTTACCATAATTTCTTACTTTTTATGCAAGCTACCGTAACCAAAAACCAAAAACCCCCTTGTTACTATAAGTTAAGAACTTATCAACTGTCGAACGACGGTAATATCACATATTCCCTGAGGACGATAACAAACCCCGGTACTCTATCCCTATATCCAACAACCTTCCATCACAATCTCAAAATACTCCCAAAGACTTCATACAACTCCATTGACTGATGTTGTAAACATCACTCATACTGCCCCTTCTACAAGACATTTACTACCTACATGTCCTACGAAACATAGACGATTTGATATGCATTCTAGAAAAAATTTGTTTCCCACTTTCAATTCGTCTGCATCCTGTGGAGTATCCTGACCTATCATGTTGAACACCATTAGTGATACCTAAAATGTAACTGCTTTAACCCCGGTGGATCCTACTATTCTAAGACAATCAAAACGAAGACCTCGCCTGAGTTCTCACCAAACTGATTCCCATTAAAACGCAAACACTTGAACCATTGTCTCAGGCTGCTTTAAGGATTGAGTCTTCAACTATCCACAACACAACTCACGCGAGTACGATGATACCAACAAAATTATCTATCCCATCAAATGTATTAGAATCTACTTATAATTATGTCCATCAATCTGGTGCTTCAAGTAATAACTACAGTACCAACATTCGTTTGAATCATATGTCTGCTGCTTATTCTTCTTCAGATGAAAACTTTGATTATGGTTCAGGGCATAGTTTGGGAAATTCATCAGAATCTGATGATGAGGCTCTGGAGGCTACACTTGATTCTCACCTTCAAGGTGAATTTTCCATCTAATTTTTATGTCATTCCATTTATTTTTACATGGTGTCTCAGTTATTTTTTTCAATGCAGAGTACTATGACATTGGAGACCCTGTTTAGGAATGCAAGCATTGTAAGGCGTGTATATGGTATCAGGAACTTAAAGCCAAAAATAGACATACCACAATAGCAAATTTCCATATATGCTACAAAAGTGGAAAAGTAGTCCTGCCACTCATGAGGAAGCCTCCTCCTCTACTACAACAACTCCTATTTGATAGAACATCACGCTATAGTAAAAAATTTCAAGCCGACATTAGAACTTACAACGCAATGTTCTCCTTCACGTCACCTGGGATGAAATTTGACACAACATATTCCAGGGGGACCGGTCCTCCAACTCTACGACTACATGGTCAAACTTGCCACCGAATTGGTACCATGCTTCTAAAAATCGGTGAACCTCCGTAATATGCTCAGTTATACATATTTGACATTGATAATGAGGTCAAAAATAGAATAGATTGTTTCAGGTATTACTCCTGCTTTTATACAAACCCGTAAGATTATGTAGTTACCAATTTTTTATCAATTTATTGTGATAACATTCATACTCAATGTTTTTGCAGGGATAACAAAAATATTGAAAAGGATATTGTCACCAACTTGACAGTAATGTTGGACGATAACAATGTTCATGCTAAAGCCTTTAGAATGGTGAGGGATGTGTTAAGGAATAATGCATTTCAAGAATTAAGGTTCAAATTGATTTCAAGTCGACCCGGTAATGGTCGGGTCTATAACACACCCACTATTTAGGAGGTTGCTGCACTTGTTGTGGGTGATGTTAACACTACTGAACTAAGGGACATTATAATCCATGAACTTGATGGTGGCTTGCAAAGGATCGATGATTTCCACCCAGCATATCTTGGGTACCAATACCCTTTGATTTTTGCATATGGGGAAGATGGTTACAGGGATAATATACTCCACAAGTACCAGCACGAAACAACCGTGACAAAGAAAAACAGACAAATTATTAAGGATTGGCTTTGCTACCGAATTCAAGAACACATTGTTGAACCTAAAACATTACTACATTTGAGGCACCTATTCCAGCAATTTTTGGTAGATGTTTACACGATGATGGAAACCGAGCATCTTAATTGGTTGCAGAAAAATCAATCTAAGTTAAGGGTTGGTAAGTATAACAACATATAACAAAAGTATACTACGGGGACTTCCCAACAAAGCGGAAAGGAAGGGAAATGGGTCGTGTTGCTTTCAAGTTTTATCGGGAGCATGCAGTACATGAACCAACTTTATTTCGACGGAATGGCAATTTCAAGTAAGTTGGCGTTCCCTCGCCTGTTTATAACCTTTACCTGCAACCCAAATTGGCCTGAAATCAAACGGCAGTTAGACCCATATAACTTAAATGCACACGACCGTCCTGATATTTTAGCTAAGGTCTTCAAAATAAAATCCAACCAACTCATGCGCGACATAACAAAGAAACATGTCTTTGGCCGTGTTATAGCATGTAAGTCTTCCATTTCCCATTCCTTATTATATTTTACGTACCATTATTATCTTACTAACGAATCTTACTGTGGTTTTCACTTTCAGTTATGTACACAATAGAATTCCAAAAGAGAGGCCTCTCACACGCTCACATTATGATATTCTTACATCCTGAAAGTAAATATCCCACCTCTTCTGACATTGACCAAATCATTTATGCTAAATTACCTGATCCCGAACTTCATCTTACTTTGTACAATTTGGTCAAATCATATATGGTCCATGGATCTTATGGTTTTTCGAGGGAATCATAACCATGTATGAAGAATAAAAAATGCAACAAATTCTTTCCTAAGTGATTCATAGAGAATACAATTGTTGATGCCGAAAGCTATCCTTTATACAGAAGAAGATTATCTACACACATAATTCAGAAAAATGGCATCCTTTTGGACAATAGACATGTTGTCCCCTATGTTGCACCCTAAAATTTGACCAACCGGTTCCCCTATTTGGTTTATGGTTCGACGCATTTCGCATACCGCATACAATGCATTTTCTTATTCATATTGATTTTATCGGGATTTCAGCCCTGTTTTCACATTTCGGGTGTTTCAGACCGGTTCGGATAATCGGAGGTTATTTTTGAGAAGTCACGCGTTTCCCGGGTGTTTTTAGCTTACGCGGTTGCTTTTGAGGATTTTGGTGTCTAGGTTTACTGTTTGTTTCGATCTGGTCTCGCGCCCTCTTTTATTTTGGTTGATTGCCTTTGTTTGCATTTTTAGGATTTAATAGCCTTTTATAGATTTTAAATAGGATTTAATTGATTTTTCTAGATATTAGATAGATTTTAAGAGATATTAAATGTTTTTTAAATAGTTTTAGAGTTTTAATATCAATTTTCCTTTTTTAGAGAATGGTTTTAAATTGATTTTTAATAGGAAATTCTTTTACTAGGTTTTTTTTAATAAAATTAATAGAGTTTTTTCTATTTTTTGGTTGTATAGAAATTAAATAGGATTTATAATAGATTTTCTAGATATAGGATATAATAGATTTTTTATATAGTTTTATTAGATTTAAATAGATTTTTGTAGAATAATTGGATAGATTTTTAATATGGATGTTAATAGGTTTTTGTTTTAAATTAATAGATTTTATTTTTAAATAGATTTTAGATATTAGTATTAATTGAATTGTTAGTTTTAATAGATTTCTTTTTACTAGATTTTAAGATAGTCTATTAATTAGATTTAGTTTTAATCATTAGGGTTAGTTTTTAATCCACAATTAATTTTCGTTTAGCATTAATTAGTAGTTAATCATCCAATTAGTTCCTTAATCATATGTTCAGTCCATTAACTTTTTTTGTCCATTATAGCCAGTTTTTTGGGCATTTTCGTGGGCCCAGTTTTGGAGGCCCAGTCCCAATCATTGCCACCTGTCCTATAAGAGGCCATCCACGTGTTCATTTCTGAGTTAGCTTCTCCATTTGCCACGTTTCACACGCAGAAGCCCCCACATCATTCACCCTTTCACTCTCCACCTGTCCGTCCCTCACCCTTCCTCCATGCCACGTTTCGCCATCTCGTTCCCCCGCACACGCATGTGTGACACCCGTCCCACTCATCAAGCCCTCACCGGAGACGTCACCGGGAGCCATGCAAACACCGGGGAAACCGCAACCGGAGAAATCAAACGGCCAACACTCGCCGGAAAAACTGCATTTCATCCTCTCCGTTCATCCTCTTCAATCAACTTCACCAGCAAGCTAACCCTAACAACTCACCGCCGGCAACCCCAACTACCTCCGACCACCACAACAATCACCGGAAAACCAAAAAACGCCAGATTTCCCTAAATCTTCATCTTCTCCGATCCAAACTCATCATCTTTGGATCATTTTTCCAGAAATCAATCAAACATCAACCACATCAAGATCTTCATCTTTTCCCAGATTCTTCAACAAACTCCATAGGAATCTTCTTTGACGTTCATCAACCTTCAACCAAATCTCCAGAAACGTTCAATATCATCACCAGAATCGTTGACAACGTTCAACGTTCTTCATCCATTTTTCAAGATTCCCAGATTTGATCCAGATCATCAAGATCCATCCACGAAATTCATCAGTTCCTCCGTCTATGTTCATCCATTACTTCCAGAAGATTTTTCGGTTAAACTTCGCGCATCTTTCAACCTGTTCACCACTATAATCTTCAGATCCGCATGCATTCTCCTTGATCTTCATAAGGTTAGTTGTGAAGTTTTTTTCCAGCTTTCGTATCATCGTTCTTCACCGTCTTCGAGAACTTCCATCTTCAAACATGCAATCTACGAAGGGCTTCGAATCCAAACTTCAAAACCTCACCGATCATCAACTAAATGCAACAGATCGACCTTCGTCTTCACCAATCTACCGCGAATCCACGATCTTCATCATTATCGCAACTCCAGAATCTCGTTCTTCAATGTGCAAGCTCCACACCTTTGGATCCGAGTTCAGCTTTCGCCATCAATAAAGTCCGTCCAAGCTTCTGAATCCGCTTGCAAACTCTGATCGTTGAGATTTGGTGTTGTCTTTTCTTTTGTTGTTTGAACAAGAACGTGAGTTGAAGACGGAGAGAGGTAGAAGGAGTTTCAGGCGGCGCCGCTGTGAGCAAAGAAGGAGACTAGGGTTTCAGAGTTTGGCTTTGGGAGAAGGGGAAGGGAAGGGCCTTCTTGGGCCCGGTTTGGCCCAATCCATTTTGGGATCCACCTTCCGTTTTTCCATTCACCCCCCCCCCCCCCCCCCCCCCCGTTTGTGTGTATGTAGCTGGGCATCAGGCCCAAGTTGTTTTTCGGCCACACACCCTGCGTCTGGCTATACACCCCCTACCCCTTTTTTTTAATTTTTGTTGTTTTTTTTTTCTGAATGTGTTGTGGGCTGGGCCCTATATTTTTGGCTGAAGCATAGCCCCTGTAATCTCTGCTGCACCCCCCCGGTACATTTTTTGTAAATTTTCTTGAATAGTTTTAATTGTATTTTTTTTAGAATAGTTTAATAATTCTAGAATAATTAGCATATTGATTAGCATGTTAGGGTTATAATTAGGATTTAATTTTCTTTAGAGAATTGTTTAGTTTAATATGCTTAGACCATAATCTTTAGTATATTTTCTCTTAATAGAATTTAGATAGAATAATTCCTAGAATAGAAATTTAGCATTTATTCCTTTGTAAAGAATTTAGGACTTAGATGTTTTTAGGAGTTTATAGATTTAATTCTTTAGAATATTTTCTAGTAGAATTTAATTGCCGTATTTTAGGAGTAGCATTTTATTTCCATCTCGCCTTGGATTGTCTCTCTTATTTTCGTTTCCATCTGACTTTATTCTCGATTTTATTTCTGGCTGGCCGTGTGACACGATTCAATTGGAGAATGATTTTCGATATCATTTCACCATCTTGTCTGTGACACAAATATCAATACGCTACCTCTTAGAGTTCGATTTCTCGTATAAGTCGAACCATGACGGTCTAAGCGTCACATTGTTCTTGATTCGAGCGTCATCATCAAGATCCAGAGAGGAGAAGATTGAAATGGAGCTTGC